ATGCACTTCATCTTCATGGTATGGGAGCTTACCCCCCTGAGGAACACACTGAGTATTGCCCTCAAATTCTTGGGGAGCCATGTTCTCAAGCTGGAATGAGGTATTGTTTTTTGATAAGTGAACTCAGTCCTGGGCTGGAGCAATAGCACAGCGGGTAGGGCGTTCGCCTTACACGCGGCCAACATGACCGACCCGAGTTCGATTCCTCCGCCCCTCTCGGATAGCCCGGCAAGCTACTGAGAGTATTCGATATGCCAGACACAGTAACAACAAAGTCTCCAATGGAGACGTTACTGGGCCCGCTCAAGCAAATCGAACTCAGTCCTGACCTCTGCCCAGGTTCCCAGACCCATCATCTACCCTTATAGAAAACAATTTCTAGAAAGATACAAACAGTGAAGTAATATCTCCTGTTCAAGAAATATTAGGGGGTGAGAGGGAAGCATGTTTGAGAGCACAGGACAGAGCTAAAAGCACCCAATTTGAGATGCAGGTGGATCCCATGATGGGGAATGTACACCATTTGCCTTTGAAAAATTTGTTTCGCAAAGTTTCTCCCAAATTATCCCACCTGGGATTTTCTATAGACATAAGCATTTGTTACTAGGGTATTTTCAAGAGGAAGAGCTTTGAACCTTTCTGTTTGTTTTGTTTTGGGGGTCACACCTGGCAGGGCTCCATATACATATAAGGTGCTAGTTATCAAACCCCAATAGAGCAGGCAAATACCCTACCTGCTGTACTGTTGCTCAGGGCCCAGAGTTTCGAGCTTTAGTTGTTCTTATCATGCAGGTAGCATAGTCACTTGTTCCTACTGAAGTTTCTCCTTTCCTGAAAAGGGGTCCAACTTTGCCCTGCACCAGCTAAAATTTTATCTGGCCTTTATTTCTGCATTTCAGTTGGTCTCCAGCATTCATGCTTTGGGGCTTCTTTGGGTTGGAGATACAGTGAAATTCTTCAATCCACATTTATTCCACATTCAACTAATGGGGACCAAGGAAATAGTGCAAAGGGCTATTTAAACTATTTTGAACCTGCATGTTTTGCAAGCAAGAGGCCTTGGTACAAAGCACCAATGGCAACAGGGACTAACTCCCAGCAACTGCTTCCCTCTGGCGGCCCCTGAGGAATACACTGAGTATTGCCCTCAAAACTCATGACCACCATCATTATCATCTCTATTTGGAGGAAAGGAAGAACTTCTTTTTTCAGAGTCAAAGGTTGACACCAGAGGAAGTAACTTAACTAGGAACTTAAGATTAGACACTCCCCTGAACCAAGGAAACCTCACTTATGTACCATTGAAATCTGCTGATTATTCTTGATTTTAAAATACGTTAAGATCATCATTTAAAGTAATAAAGTACTTGTTTTAATAATCATACCATAGTTTTAGTTTTTTATTTTCTTTCTGGGCCACACCCAGCAATGCTCAGGGATTACTCCTTGCTCTGCACTCAGGGATCACTCCTGCTGGTGCTTGGGGGACCATATAAGATGGTAGGGGTCTAACTCAGTCAGCCACATGCAAGGCAAATGCCCTACCCACTGTATTATAGTTCTGGTCCCAGCATACTGTAGTTTTCTAACATCCAGGCAGAACAGGAAAGCATGACTGGGACTCAGGCTGTAACATTCTCTAGAGTTGATGCAGGCTCAGAGAAGGGAAATACAAAGGCAAAGTCCATGTGAGATTGTTTCGTTCAGATGCACCTGTGGCCCAGATCTTTAGCCTACCCCATCATCTCTTCCTTCTGCCAGTGGGGCCTGGAGCATAGATAGGCAGGAATGACAGGGCTTCATAGCTAACCTTAGAACTAAGCAAATCTTGTTTCTCTGCGCACAGTTTTGTGAGCTCTTTCTCACAGACTCGGCTCCTTTGGAGGACATTCAAGGACTTTACACCATGTTCCATCTTGCCATGGACCCTCACGGATTTCCCAGCAATTTTTCTCTTGCTAAATCATCCCAGCAAGATGAATTTTTCCCCCTTTCTTGGAATTTCCAGACTCTCTGCCTTGCTTTCTTCCCAGAATGTCCATGTTTCAAAATCTTATTTTTTCTCCCAAATTCTAGTTAAGATTCTACTTCCTTAATAAAATTTACTCCAATTTCCACTACCTGGTATTAATCATGGTGGTTCTCAATTCATATAATGTATATACCCAGCTGGATGCTGGGAAATTGAAATGATTTTTTTTTTCTGGTCATCACTAACTAGAACAAATTTTTTCTTATCTTCTGCTGGAAAAACTGACAGTTGCAAGTATATAAATGTTTGTGTTGTTGCCACCAACCCCTGAATGTAGCACAACCATCAAAAATATGCAGAGTAGCCCTAAAATGATTGCCTCTTCATCTGTATTCCAGTAACGTAATGCTTAATTATCTATCCTACCACTCTACCTTATCTTATGCTTTTTATTTCTTGCTTTACTTTGTTGAATGTGCCAAGAAATATCCTAATCATCTCCATATGTCCCAGGCCAGAAAATGCTGCTCTCAGATAGCAGTCACTTGCTATTAAGTTATTGTCTTTTTTGTGACCAAAGGGCAATTATAGTGTAATGGTTTCAATTGTGGGCTTTGGAGCATGATGGCCCGGGCCTAAATCTTCCTGGTCTACTTATTAACTATGTGATCATGGCCAAGATAACTGCCATGTGCCTTTGTTCCCCTATAATACAGTAACATTTCCTTCATTGTGATCTTTTTCCCCCTTTTACTTTTTCATCATGATCTTGATAGAAGAATAAAGGTAATTAATTAATTAATTAACTAAATGCAAGTAAAGTGGTTTGAAAAACAAGAGAGCATTAATAAATGTTAGCTATTATCACAACAGATTGTTCAAAAAAAGAAGCATTCCTGCTAACTCTATTTCAGCCAATAAAACAAGATGGTTATATCAAAGTGAGTCCATCTTGCAGTAGGTACTCAAATAGCTCACCTACTTGGAGGATCTGAAGTGACAGGAGTTAGGAGTAGGATAGACTTGGAAGGTTCTGGAGCATGTAACAAGAAGTCGGAAGAGTAAGATGTAGGATGACTGACTGTCTACTCAGGGGAACACTTCTTTACCCTACATCTAAGATAATCAGCTGGTTCAAAGCTTAAAATCCATAGCCTGAGGTTAACATGGAGAGTGTGAGAGAACATACAAGCCATAGGCTAGAAAAAGATCTGCTTGTCCTCATCATGCCATAGCTAAGAAGCTAAGGGGATGATTCCAGAGAGGGGGGTTCTCTGACTTGCTCATCCCAAACCCCTGGAGGCATAGTCAGCTTTTATTTTTATTTTATTTTGCTTTTTGGGTTGCACCCAGCGATGCTCAGGGGTTATTCCTGGCTCTGCACTCAGAACTTACTTCTGGCAGTGCTTGGGGGAGCGTATGGGATGCCGGGGATTGAACTCCAGTTGGCCTCGTGCAAGGGCCTTAACATCACTATACTATTACTCCGGTCCCCCATAGTCAGCTTTTAACAACACTGAGCAAGTTAAGTGCTTTTCTATCACTTCTTTTCCTGTTTCCATGAACCATTCCCATTTCCCCCTGCTCTTAACTCTGAAGAGTCAAAAACAATGGAGAGTCAATAGAGGAGAGAAAGGACAAGTGGCAGGTGGGGGAAAGGAGAGGCAGGAAGATTCCTCCTCAAAACTAAGCAGCTTAGATGCACCAGGCCACTTCTGAGGCTTTGCCTTCCCAGGAGAGATGTTTGCTTTTCAATCAAGGTTGGCAATTTTATTACCGTACCAGGCTGGGCACATTCAGTACTGCATTGAAACCTTGAATGAGTGAGATCTTGCCATGTCTCTCTGGTCACTGCGTATCATTTCCCAGGACTTAGCTCAACATTCTTCTTCAAGGTTGACCTCCTCATCCACAGTCAACACACTCTTTGGGCCTCTTCTGCCCCACCAGAGCCCAGGGACACATCATTATCCTCTGCCAGCCTATGAACTCTAAGAAGACAGAATTGACCTGGTACAGATAGCACAGAGGGTAGCGCACTTGCCTTACATGCTGCTGACCAGGTTGGATCCATGGAACCCCATATGGTTCCCCAAATATGCCAGGAGTGATCACTCAGTACAGCGCCAGGAGTAAGCCCTGAGCACAGGGAGGTGTGCCCCCCTAAAAGGAAGGGGGGAAAAAGATGGCAGAAGTGACCTTCACATCACTAGTAACTCCATTGGCTCACAATTTTCTTCTAATGAAAGTACAATGGAACAATGGAATACTATGCAACTGATAGAAATAATGAAGTCATGAAATTGGCTTAAAACTGGATGGACAGGGAAGTATCACGTTGAGTGAAATGAGTCAGAAGGAGAGGGACATGTATAGAGTGACTGCATTCATTTTGGGGATATACAAAATACGTATATATAATATGAGACTACTATCCAAGGTGAGGGCAAACAGGGGCCAGGAGGACAGGTCAGTGGTTGGAAACTTGCCACAAGAGTGTGTGGGTAGGTGAAGGGCACAGGTAAAGGAATGTACCTGATAACCTTTCATTATCTGTATTGTAAACCATAAGGCCCAAAGGAAGGGAGGGAGGGAGAGAGACAGAGACAGAGACAGAAGAGAGAGAGAGAGAGAGAGAGAGAAGAGAGAGAGAGAGCTTGTCTTAAAGGCAGAGTGGGGGGTGGAAGGAGGGAAAGGAGGAAAATTGGGTACATAGGATTGTGGTGGGAAATGTACAGGGATGACGCAATGGGTGTTGGAACATTGTATGATGGTTAAACCCAATAATGAACAACTTTGTAACTGTTTATCCCATGGTGGTTTAGAAAGAAAGAAAGAAAGAAAGAAAGAAAGAAAGAAAGAAAGAAAGAAAGAAAGAAAGAAAGAAAGAAAAAAGATGGCCTGTTGAGCACTGGGTGAGCTCTGTGGATTCATGGGAAAATGCTCTGGTATCTCCCCATCCTGATGTATCTTTCTGAGGAAATGTTAAGACCCTACTTGTGACTTCTTCACTATGTCTCATCCACAGGTTTCTTCAGGCGAAGCATTACCAAAAACGCTGTATACAAGTGCAAAAACGGGGGAAACTGTGTGATGGACATGTATATGCGAAGAAAATGCCAAGAGTGTCGACTAAGGAAATGCAAAGAGATGGGAATGTTGGCTGAATGTATGTATACAGGTATTCGCATCAAGCAGTTAAATTCCACCAAAAATCTCTTAAGGAGGCAGATGTCAGGTAACTCTCTGATTAGAATGGTACTTCACATCTCCAAGAAAGGATTTGCTAAACCACCTATGTACTCGAAAAGGTAACAGACCACTGAAATTATCCAAATTCTAAGCTCAAGAGCATTTTCTTCACTTTACAGAAATGCCTGTTTTTTATCCTTTGTGGTTGCAATGAATTATATGTGAAATGGCATCACCCTAGAGTAAAAATAATAGTTTTAAGAAACTATAAAAAAAAAGACAACCTGTTTTCTCCTATTTTCATTAATATCCTTCTTGTTTGATTAGAATAAGATTTCCCAATTGTGGAGAAAAGTTAAAAGTGCTTTGTAAGGCATAAATGCCTCTGAATTGTCTAAATAGAGTTTTAAACCAAGTCATTTTATTAAGAATCTATTCTTCTCATAGTGTTGCTTTGAACCAATTTGTATAGCTTTATACAGGAAATTAACTACTCTGAGTTTTAATATAATTTGCCCCTTTCATCTGATAAAGAAACACTATTAACTGCTGGCATGGTGAGAAATCATAATCTTCATAAAAATTTAGAATCCATGCTAGCCTATAACATATTCATTTTTCATCCTGCAAATGCTACTCAGATTCTAAGATATGTCCTGTTTCTCCTCAAAAACACACATCGACAAATAATGTCTCCAAGGTGATGGGAACAACCAGGAAGGGAATGCCTCATGAAATAAAAGCCTTGGAAAGTGACTCCATCTGTATTGTTCCAGACTGGACAGGCACCTGGGATGGACAGCGATATAATGTGTGCAGGAGGGGGAAAAATAGGCCAGTGTAAATAATCCAGACCTGTGGATAAAAGTTTTATAGTGGCCGATCAGAATCTCGTCCTAGCATATATGAAACCAGAGCCAGCCAGAGACAGCAGTAAGGGGTTTGCTGCTGAAACTCAACCTTGCAATGGAAATGCTTTTGATACTGGGTGGTTCACATTGCTCATTACTTAAATATGAACTTGTTCCAGCAAAGGTACTGGGACATTTCTTATGACTCTACCTATGAGTCTATTATAGTAGAAATACAAACTGGCCCAATAATATATGCTTCCATAAGCATAAAATAGATTTCCTATACAAAGAAATTTCTGGAATTTCATTTTACTAGCCATATTAGAAAGAGAAAATTCAGTAAGAATACGAATGGTGGTTATGTGTTATTTTTTGTAGTGCTGCATAAATATGTAATCGATGGTGATTTTATATAATTCAGAAGAAAATGTCCAAGCCTTCTTGAGTTTTTTTCTTTAACTATGTTCATAATAATTTCTGAATTATTAATCAGATTAATGGTCCTGAAAATTAACAGGAGTTAATTTTTTTCCCTAAAAAGTTGTTGACATGCATCTCACTCAGAACGCTTATTTTTGTTCATATTAAACTGAATATCTTAGAATAGTTCTATAAATATGGGTTAAAAAGTAATGTTGATATTGTTTTTGCAATACTTGTTTTCAAGGCTCCCTAAACCAGGAATTGAAAGAATCCCATTCATCTTTTTGTTTACTGTATATCTTGAATTTGTATACTGTTTTTAATATTAATTTTTGTAAAGCTCAATTTTGGGGCCACCCCCTGCCATGCTCAGGGATTATTACTCCTAGCTCTGTGCTCAGCGATCACTTCTGCTGGTGCTTAGGGGACCATATGAGGTGCCAAGAATTAAACCTGGGTTTGCCGTGCTCAAACCCATATAATCTCTTTGGCTCCTGTTGAGCTCATTTCAAAAGGTGGTCTGGTTGCATTTAATCTATACAAAGCATTGCAGGGCAGATATTTTGCTATTTTTCAGATGAAGAAACAAACTTGTGGGAGTAAAGTTGGGGTGGTGTGATGTTTCTCAAGTGGTGCTCAGGAGGCCCTGGAGGCCCTTCTGCCAATTCTCAGTCAACTGGGCAGCAGGTTGGTGCCAAGGTTGGACTCATTGCTCTTGGATCCTGCAGTTCTGGGGATCATCCTGACCCCCTGCTGGTGCTTGGAGCCTCCAGTGCTGCTCCCAGCAATGCTCAGGGGACGATGAGGTGTCAGAGAGACAACCAGGATGGGCCACATGTAAGACACGCATTCTAACCCTTGCACTATTCAGGCAATCAATTTCTTGTTCAAAGTCAAATCTGAAAAAGTAAGAAGCAGGCCAAGGAGATAGTTCAGCTTCAAACAGTCATGCCTGACATGCATGAAGACCTGAGCTCCATCCCCAGTACCACATCCCGCTGACCCCAGATGCCCTGGGTGTGGACCCAAGCAGTACTACCTGGCATAGTTGGCTGAGTATATTTGAGAGTGACCCCCACACACAAGGCTCCTGAACACTTCTTGAGAAGCCACACTCCTACCCTACCCCCTACCAAAAATAAATAAATAAAAGCACAAAACAAGAACTCAGAAAGGCTGGAGTTGGCTCTGCTAATTGCATTTGATCCCAGCCGCAATCCAACCTCTGTCTTGTTCCCACATGCCCCTTGGGACTTTCTGTGATTGGTAAAGTCGCTATATTTGTTTTTTCAGGCTTGTTAACTGAAATTCAGTGTAAATCTAAGCGATTGAGAAAAAATGTCAAGCAGTACGCAGATCAGAGCATTAATGAAGACAGTGAAGGACGTGACTTGCGGCAAGTGACCTCGACGACTAAGTCATGCAGGGTAATAACGCGCAAAGGTGCCTGTGAGAGCCACAGAGCTGATTTGTACACATGCAGTGATCTGCAGTGATCTGGCTTGGCTGGGAGGTTTGCAGCTTAGAGCCAGAATCAGGAACCAAACAACACTTCCACTCAGTCAGACTCACTGGAAATGAGCGGCTGATTTTGCCAATCAAGAATGGAATACATGCTTTTGGTGTAATGAGTCAAATAACGGTAATGTGTCAAGTTAAAAAGTGACTCCCTGGCTCCATTCCACTCGTGCTATCCAGTTGACCGGTGAGAATAGTTTGGTGTCTAAAATGGATTTCCCAAACTGAGTTTTGATGGCGTCTTTTTTTCTGTCATTGAGAAGGGAGACTCAAGCTGGGGGCAAATATGGACTCAATAGAGGTTTGTAAATTTGTCCTTGACAATAGATAAGACAGGTGGCCCAGCACTGGATCAGTGAAAAGGAGCTTTGCCATATTTGGGACTTTTATTTTTATTTTATTGATTTATTTATTGATTTGGGGGCAATACCTGGCTGTGCTCAGGGCTTACTCTTGGTTCTGGACTTAGAAATTACTCTTGGGGGTTTGGGGGACCATATGGGGTGCTAGGGAATCCAACCCAGGTTGGCCATGTTAAAGGCCCGGCCCACTTGTACTATCTCTCTCATGCCAATACTAGGTCTTTTAAAAATAACTTCTGCTAGTGATTTATTCCAGATTTTGCACATTGGAGCATTTTCTTATAACCACCTTTCCTAATACCTTTTATTTTTTTGCCAGTGTAGGAGAAAACTGAACTCACCCCAGATCAACAGAATCTTTTACATTATATTATGGATTCATATAGCAAACAGAGGATGCCTCAGGAAATAACTAATAAAATTGTATGTATAATACCCAAAAGTGCACAATATTAAAGTTAATATTTTCTTAAGCTCTTGCTCCATTAGGGTGGAATTTTTATATGGATGATACTTTGAAATGATTAAAGCTAAAAATTTAAGTTATATATGTCAACTTTTAGCAACATTAAAGCATTAAGATATGAATGAGACATCTATCTTGGTAATGGTAACTTTGAAAAAAAATATTTGTTAATTGGATCTTAAGTTTTATTATCAAATCTATATCTTAAGTCTAATGATTTTATGTTAATTTCTCTTATCTGCATCCTAATCAGTTGTTTTGTTCTTAAATTCTAGTTAAAAGAAGAATTCAGTGCAGAAGAAAATTTTCTCATTTTAACAGAAATGGCTACCAGTCATGTCCAGATTCTTGTAGAATTCACAAAAAAATTGCCAGGTATTTTAAAATGTAGTTCCTTCTCAGGTACATTAGTAACTAATTCCTTGTACATGCTTGAGTAGGCCCAGTAATGTCTCCATTGTGAGACTTGTTGTTACTGTTCTTGGCATATCGAATACATCACAGGTAGCTTGCCAGGCTTTTGCCCCGCGGGCGAGATACTCTCGGTAGCTTGCTGGGCTCTCTGAGGAGAGCAGAGGAATTGAACCTGGGACACCTGGGTTGGCTGCGTGCAAGGCAAACACCGTACTCGCTGTGCTATCACTATAAAATATATATACCAGGATGAGGGTGTGCATGGGTGTGTGCACATTAGAATCCCACAGTGTGGAAAAGTTTAATAAATACCTTTACAGCAGTATGACATTATAATAGGAAATTACAGAAGATAACTTCTGACATGGAATTTTAATTAGATGCTAATTTGCCCCCTTTTTCCACCACGGTGATATTCTTATTTTGTTGAAGTGTCATGGATAGACGTAAGTCTACAGAAAACTCATAAAATGTAGGAAGAAGGTTCTTGTTATCTCTGAATATTAATATTCTCCCATTCCTTTATTAACAATGAAGAAAGAACTTAATTTGGTATATGCTAATTAAGTTTAGGACAACTTTGATCAAAAACAAGATTATAGGGGAATAAAAAACTGAACAGAGGAGAAATAGGGAAAGGGAGAAATACGGTTTTGGTTGTTTATGGGAAAATTTTTTAGTTCAAATGGTCATTTGATCTTGAACCAAGAAATAACTGAAGTCAGAAATAGCTTTTTATTCTTAAGAATGCAGCTTATCTAAAAGTGATGGTAAAATTTGGTTCATTGTTGTTTGAATACAGCAGTGCTCAGGGCTTACTTCTTACTTCTTACTTCAGGGCTCTACACTCAGGGTCACTCCTGGTGGGGCTCAGGGGACCATATGTGGTGCCAGGGATCAAACCCATATTAGTCATATGCAAGGCAAGAGCCCTGCCTGCTGTACCATCTCTCTGACCATAATGGCAATATATTATATACCTCTTTACTCCCTGTCTGACTAGAGACAGAAATAGTATAGTCAATGTGTATTTAATGAATTCGTCAAAATGGATTAATTAAAAATACAACAGGAAATAAAAGACAAAACTCTTGAGAAATAAAATAGATTTTAAAAATAATTATGAAAATCACAATATTACGAAGAGTGATAAGAATGATATTATACCAATAGTGAAAGGGAGTTTTGTGAGACCAAGTAGAGTCATTCCATCATGCGGTTCATGGGATGAAGCCAGTACCAAATACTGTAGGTTCTGGAGACATGGCATGGCTCTTGCCTTCCAAAGAGCTTTTAGAGTTCCAAAAATAGTGGTGTGTGGTTCTAGCATGATTTTCTCCTCTACCTTCCTCTATCTTAACTAATGCATCAATTAGCCTCTTTTTGTGTTGTGTGTGTGTCTGCACATGTGCTTTGAGATTGTTCTTGCTTCCTATTCACTGTCATGTAGTTAATCAACAAATAATTCTTGGATACCAGTGATGTGCCAGGACCCTGGGTATACAATGGGGAACACAACAGGCTGTCTCTTGCTCCCCAAAGCTTTCAGTCTAAATAAAATAAATCCTGTTTAGACTAATAAATACTGGAGAGTACTTTTTTAAGTACTTGAAGCAAAAACCTATGAGGCGAATGAGATATGGAGAGTGTTGGGAAAGGCCATTAACCACTGAGGCAAAAGGAACTTTGTGTGTTCTCAGGGAACTGGGAGTTAGTTGGTAGAACACAAAAGAGAAGAGATGAGGAAGACATGAGTGCCCAGAAGCTGCCACATATGGAAGCACACAAATCTCAATTTTCCAGGCAGTACCATATGCCTTGGTGTCATCAAATTTTCCCCATATTTATCTAATTTTCCCTTCACAGATGGTATAGTGCTGATCTCAGAGATGCTATCGCAACAAAACTTTTATGTTTTTTTAGAAATCCTACCCATTCTGTTGATTGGCTAAGCACTCATGTATCAGCCAATATTCCTGGGAACCCCTGATATAAAGACTGTTTCTGACTTTTAATGGATGCTTCCATTCTGCAGAGTTGACCCTGAGGTATCAGGGCCATCAGTTTGCCATGTTTTTTTAATTTTTGAGGATGGTTTCATCTGAAGCACCCTGTCTCAGCCATGAATTATATATACATGGGATAGACTTGAAATCCTTTGTTTCCCAAATTTGTTCAACGACTCCTACTCAATGTGGATAAAAACTAGCTTCTACTGGGGGCAGCTCAAAAGATACTTATTGACCCAACTGGACTTTTCATCCTAAAACAGTAAGAGTATCAGTTTTCAGAAATGTTTCATCAAGCAGAGGCTGGTGATGAAGAAACATTATTATGATGCATTCACAACTCCTTGATACTAATTTAATTATCATTTGCATCTAGGCTTTCAGACTTTGGACCACGAAGATCAGATCGCTTTGTTGAAGGGGTCAGCAGTTGAAGCTATGTTCCTCCGTTCAGCTGAGATTTTCAATAAGAAACTTCCAGCAGGACATGCTGATCTGTTGGAAGAAAGAATTCGAAAGAGTGGTAAGTTGTTTGATTAACAATTTTTTAAAAATATGTTTCTGCAAGTAGGAGTGTTTATACCCCATGAATGTAAATATCTTGCCTAGCTTGTAAAATAAGTTATGTCATTGTGCTTAATAAAGAGAATAACTATAAAAAGACGTGTTTAAAAGAAGAGATATATTTAAAAATTTAATTCAAAAATCCATATCATGATAATAAAATACCCAAAGTACTCTTTTCACTTCACTAAGATGAATAATTAAAAACAATTTTTCTTAATTGGAGAATTAGTGATTTAAAAAACAAATCATATTGAGCTGGAGAGATAGTACAGCAGGCAGGGCACTTACCTTACATATACCCTAGTTTAATCCCTGGTACTCCCTATGGCCCCCCAAGCCTGCCAGGAATGATTCCTGAGCACAGAGTCAGGAGTAAGCCCTAAGCACTGCAGAATGTGACCCAAAAATGAATTGTTTAAGGGAGATGGGATTATTCAGTACATAAAATTAATTTATCACAAACCCTCACGATGAATAACTGTGCATCAAACTGTTATCCATATTTCTTCAAAGCAAAATAAGAAATAATAGCAATATCCAAACATAATATTTCTGAATTCAGATACTCTTCTTACTACTATATATATGTATATATGTGTATATATATGTGTGTGTATATATATATAATGCTATCATTATATCCTTGAGAAATTCCTATGAGGTATCACTTTTGTTCCAATTTTATGTGTGAAAAAATTGGGAAAGGGGCCAAATAACTAAAGTGACAGGAACTGCCACTTCAAAAGCCCTGTATCAAGAGCCCAGACAGCACAAAGCCAGTGTACACGCTTGGCATGTGGGAGCCATGGGCTTGCCTCACAACACTGCAGAACCCCTAAGGACCACTAGGTGGGCCCCTCAGTAAATATTACATCTACAGAGACTCAACAATCACTGCAGAAGTAACTCAATTTAACTTATTAATGCAATAGTATTGTGACAGGAAAGGCCAACAGACATCAGAATAAATTACCAGGAACTCTAAGCAGTTTCTCTTAGGAGATTCTTGAAAGAAATGTCTTTTATTTTCCTAAGATGTTACATATTTAGGAGGGCAAGGATAAATCAGATGAGATGACTTCACAAGATTTTTTTTCTTCCTAAACAGTTATCGTTCTATGATTGGTAGGAAAAATTTAAATACTTAAAAAAATCAATACTTTTAAGTCATGTTTGGAAGCAAAGTTTTCTGACAGTCTGGCATCTATGGTATAATAATTAAAAATTATTTTATTTGGAAGAAAATGTTTCTGTTTGTTGTTTTGCTTCTAAAACCTTGTTTTCAGTTATTTGTAACAAAATAGTGTAGTGTTTATGGTATTTGTACCATAGTTACTGTACCCCTCTACCACTGAAGTGTCTGATATCTTTTACCCCTGTCATTATGCTACTCTTAGTTCACTTCTCCATTAAAAAAATTTTTAATTCTTTTTCATATTCATGTTTTCCCTTATAGTTAAAAAGCCAAAAACATAATTTGTACTACTAGTAAATTTTTTAAAACACACATTTCTTGGACTGGAGCAATAGCATGGTGGGTAGGGCATTTGTCTTGCACTCGGCTGACCCGGGTTCGATTCCCAGCATCCCATATGGTCCCCCAAGCACCACAAGGAGTGATTCCTGAATACATAATCCAGGAGTAACTCCTGTGCCTCGCTGGGTGTGACCCAAAAAGCAAAAAAAAAAAAAACCCACATTTCTTGCCTGCAGCCAACTCAGGTTCAGTCCCAGCATTCCATATGATTCCCTGAGCCCACCCAGGAGTGAAGCTGAGAGCAGAGCAGAGATTACCCCAGCACCACAAAGTATGAGCCCCAACTAAAAAAAAAGACAAACAAAAGTGTTGTTCTTTTTTTTTTTAGTTACTTTTTTATTGAATCAGCTCAAGGGACCATATAGGATGCTGGGAATCGAACTCGGGTTGGCCACATGCAAGACAAACGCCCTACCCACTGTACTACCACTCCAGCCCCAAAAGTGTTGCTCTTATGTAGACAATGATTTGCTCATTTTACCAATATTTAATTTATTGTGGGAGTGAAGAGAGGAACCAGACATGCGCCCTCTCTGATGAAATTTACAGTCCTGAGGGAAAGAAGAACTGCACAGAGGAAATGAAAGTAAAGGATGCCAGAGAAGATCTCAGGGGATGGCATGGGGTGGGGGTCTTTCAAGTTGGGAAGGTTCTGGAAAGGTTTCATTGGCATTTGAGCCAGGCCTAGAATGCCATTTGCTGTGGATATACAGGATGAAGAAGTGAGAAAAAAATCAGCAGGAGCATAAGACAAGAAAGCCCAAATTATGTGCACAAAGAAAAATGAATAGTTGGTTTTGATCAGAAAAAGAGTTACGAAACAGGGAATTATGTTTACAGTCACAGTCACAAGACTGAGGATTTACTTATTCCTTAATTCCTAATGGGAGACATTAGAGATTTTTTTAAGCAGGTCAGGGAAGATATCAAAAATATGCTTTCCCAATCTTCCAGATAAGCCGGGGTGGGAAGCAAGAGGTTTCAAGAATGCGCTGCCAGGGGAAAATGAAAGAAGGGAAAGACTCTGAGAAAAACAGTACTGCAGCTCTTTACCTTCCAAAGACTGAATGTTGTCCAAAAATGTGGTTTATGATCCTGATCAAATGGTACCTCTGATGTGTTCTGGGCCTTCGAGTGTTCCATGTGTGAGTTCCCGGGAGACAGTGAGTGAGATGAGATCTAATCAATTAACAGAAGTTTTAAGTATACAATGCAGGATTGTGGGATACTGGAATAATTTTGAGCCACACATCTCTGGGGCTCATGTGGTTTACATGAAATTTTATCCCTGTTGGTCAGGAGGCAATCTCTATGCTGATGACAGATCACTGGTGCTCATACCTCCTGGAAGAAACTTCGTTGCCCTCATGCCCTCATTCGTCTGGTTCTGGTTTCCAAGAACTGTGACAATGTTCTTTTTAAGAAAAAGCATCAGTCAAATCTAATTTCTTTAACTAAATAGATAAGGGTGGTAGGAGTGAGAACTCACATGACAAAATTTGGCAGCGGGGTTCTTGGGCCACAACCAGTGGTGCTCAGGGGTTACACATGGAAGTATGCTCAGAAGTGACTCTTGATGTGCTCAGGGAACCATGTGGGGTACTGGGGATACCCATGTCAGCCATATGCAAGACAAGTGCCCTACTCACTCTACTATCACTCTGGCCTGGACAAAAGATTTTTAGTTTATAGTTCGCTCTCTTGTTACTGTGTTTGGCATATCAAATACGTCACGGGTAGCTTGCCAGGCTTTGCCATGTGGGTGAAATACTCTCGGTAACTTGCCAGGCTCTCCGAGAGGGGTGGAGGAATTGAACCCGGGTTGGTCGGGTCGGCCATGTGCAAGGCAAACGCCCTACCATTGTGCTATCACTCCAGTCCCTAGCTCTAGCTCTCTTTAACTCACAAAACATTTCTCTCTAGCTTATATGAACTTGGTTTATACACCTAGAGGTGTATCTCAGTGGTAGAACACTGACCTTGAACATGTGAGACCCTGGGTTTGATCACACACACACACACACACACACAACACAACACACATAAAATGGTTTGAACATAGTCTCCACTATTTATTAACTATATAACCCATTTTTGGGGAAAAAAGTAATAACATTGCAAAAGGATGGGAGGCCTCCCAAGCATAACTCAAGGTGTTCCGGGTCACACTCAATAATTTTCAGCCAACCAGGACACTAATACAGTGCTAGAACCCAAGCATGTGCTCAGAAGCTGCAGTACTTGGGACCACCTAGACCAGCCCAGCAGTGGATATAACCAGTAATACTTTGGGGACCTTGTGGTGCCAGAAATTGAACTAGGGTTAGGAAGTCTCTCTCCTTTCTCCCTTATGCTCAGCTTCTGTTTTGTCTGCCTACCTAAACTTCTTGCATTCCTTTGAGAAATGATGCCACTCCTTTGAGAACCATTGGTCCAGCTTAGACAAGATAGAAAAGCCTAGTTTAGGCAGTATTTTATGAAAGGGATCATCACAAGAAACAAAGCTAGAGCCAAGTTCCTGAAATTGGAGACAATAAATGGCTCCCTTGAGGTTTCTGGGTTGGGAACAGGACTAAGGCTCAATGGCTTCAAGGACAACAGTCAAGCGGTACTTATACTCCCTTGAGTTTTAATTGCACAGTATTATGGGAGCATCTCTGCAATATATTAACTATCTCCAGTGGTAATAAAACAAATACTGTATTTAGTCTTATTAAATTAAGCTTCCTAGGCATATGTATCTAATATTTTATATATAACCTAAAGATCATTCGATATGCCAGACACAGTATTATTAGTAGTAGTAAATATTATTTAATAGTAGTAAAATATTACTTATTAGTAGTAGTAGACATCTGCTAGACTCTCAGAATAGTAAATCCTTCTTAACTCAGTCATTATCTCAGAAAATTTCCCCACATGTCTCATCTAATGAGATGAGCTATAAATCCTCCTCTGCTTCATATGCCTGATTCTTTCTAGAATATTACTATTTCCATATGGTTCTGCCTATATGGTAACTGTATTGTAACAATGGAAGATCATTTCCACAATTCTAGTTTTTCATGTTTGTGCATTATTTCTCAATAAATATTTATTTTATATTGATATGAACAAGATTTACTAGGGACATAAAGATAAATAAGATCAAGTCACAACCCTCAAGGATTTTATCTTCGAGGGGAAATAGATATGAAAATAATGCTTATAGGGTACCATGTACAAATGAAAAGTTTGACTGCTGGCAACTGTCAAACAAAACAAACACTGTCCTCCCATTGTTCATCGATTTGCTCGAGCGGGCCCAGTAACATCTCCATTTTGAGACTTGTTGTTACTGTGTTTGGCATATTGAATACATCACGGGTAGCTTGCCAGGCTCTGCCATGCGGGCGAGATACTCTCAGTAGCTTGCTGGG